CAAGCCTGTAATCCCAGCACTTTGGGAGGCTGAGATGGGTGGATCATGAGGTCAGGAGATCGAGACCATCCTGGCTAACATGGTGAAACCCCGTCTCTACTAAAAATACAAAAAACTAGCCAGGCGAGGTGGCGGGTGCCTGTAGTCCCAGCTACTCGGGAGGCTGAGGCAGGAGAACGGCGTAAACCCGGGAGGCGGCGCTTGCAGTGAGCAGAGATCCAGCCACTGCACTCCAGCCTGGGTGACAGAGCGAGACTCCATCTCAAAAAAAAAAAAAAGAAATAAACATGATAATTATTCTTAGTTGACAAAATGAGCCCAAACTATGCTTTAGAGAATTTGGGGCTGGACGTGGTGGCTCATGCCTGTAAAAGTGAGGCTGAGGTGGGCGGATTCAAGGTCAGGAATTCAAGACCAGCCTGGCCAACATGCTGAAACCCTGTCTCTACTAAAAATACAAAAATTAGTTGGGTGTGGTGGCTGGCACCTGTAATCCCAGCTGCTAGGGAGGCTGAGGCAGGAGACTCGCTGGAACCCAGGAGGCGGAGGTTGCAGTGAGTCGAGATCGTGCCATTGCACTCCAGCCTGGACAACAAGAGCAAAAACTCCGCGAGAGTGTGTGTGTGTGTGTGTGTGTGAGAGAGAGACAGAGAGAGAGAGAGAGAGTGAATTCCTGTGAAATGCTCAGAATCACAGCCAGAAAGCCTGGTTCCTAAATCCCGGGATTGATTTAGGTGATGACAATGGGTCCTTGGTTCTCCATCTCAACAAGAAAGCAGAGCGAGAAGAACAAAACCATTACAAAATGGCAGTCCACCCAGGGGACCAAATGTAAAAGGGCTGAGATAATTTAGGAGGGTGAACAGGGCAGCCTTCCTGAGGAGGTGCCGTCTGGGCCATGACTTGAATGACAAGAAGGAATGAAGCTTGCAAAGGTTAGGGAGAAAAACGGTGGAATATTATTTGGTCATAAAAACAGAAGGAAGCATTGATTCAGTGTACTCAGCATAGATGAGTCCTGAAACTATTATGCCAAGTGAAGGAAGTGGACACAGGCGTCAGCATAGTGCAAGATTCCTTCCAAAAGAAACCTCCTGAACTGACAAATTCATAGAGGCAGAAAGATTCGTGGTTGTCAGGGACTGAGGAGAAAGAAATGGGGAGATAAGTGGGTTTGGGTTTTTCTTTTTGGAGGAAGAGAAAGTTCTTGGAACTAGAAGGCAGTGGTGGATGGTTGCACAGCATTGTGAGTGTACTAAATGTCATTCCCACCATTAGTGTGTGCGCTTTACACCAATTTAAAAAGAAAACCTGTTAATGATGGCTCATGCCTTAATCCCAGTACTTTGGGAGGCCAAGGCAGGAGGATTGCTTGAGCCCAGGAGTTCCAGACCAGCCTGGGCAACATAGTGAGACCCTGTCTCTACAAAAGAAAAAAAAAATAGCTGGACATGGTGATGCGTATCTGTAGACCCTGCTACCTGGGAGGCTGAGGCAGGAGGATTGCTTGAGCCTGAGATTTAGAGGCTGATGTGAGTTGTGATTATGCCACTGCATTCCAGCCTGTGCCACAGAAGGAGAGCTTGTCCAAAAAAAAAAAAAAAAAAAAAGGAAAGAAAGAAAGAAAAGAAAAGAAAAGAAAACAGGCTAGTCATAGTGACTCAGGCCTGTAATCCCAGCGCTTTGGGAGGCAGGAGGATCACTTAGGCCCAGGGTTTGAGACCAGCCTGATAATCAAGTGAGACTATCTCTATTTAAAATTTGTAAAGTTAGCTAGGTATGGGGGAATGTGCCTGTAGTTCTAGCTACTAGGGATGCAGAGGTGGGAGGATCACTTGAGCCCAGGAGTTTCAGGCTGAAGTACTCCAGCCTGGGCAACAGAGCAAGTCCCTGTCTTAAATAAATAAATAAAGCCGGGCGCGGTGGCTCACACCTGTAATCCCAGCCCTTTGGGAGACCAAGGCAGGCAGATCGCCTGAGGTCAGGAGTTTGAGACCAGCCTGACCAACACGGAGAAACCCCATCTCTACTGAAAATACAAAATTAGCTGGGTGTGGTGGCGCATGCCTGTAGTCCCAGCTACTCAGACTGAGGTGGGAGAGAATCGCTTGAACCGGGAGGGAGGTTGCAGAACCGAGATCGCGACATTGCACTCCAGCCTGGGCAACAAGAGTGAAACTCCGTCTCAAATAAATAAATAAATAACAGCCTGGGCAACTAGTGAGACCCTTTCACTACATACACACATACGCGCACACACACACATACACATACACATACACACATACACACACACACACACATACACACATACACATATACATACATATACATATACATACACACATACAGAGATACACATACATATACATACACACATGCACACACACATACACATACACACGCATACATACACACACACATACACGCATGCATACATACATAACATACATACATACACACACATACATACATGCATACATACACACACACATACACACATACATACACACATACACATATACATACACATACATATACATACACACATACACACAGAGATACACACACATACATATACATACACACAGGCACACACACATACACATACACACGCATACATACACACACATACACACATACATACACACACACACACACACACATACATACATACATACATACACATGCCCAAAAGGCGGCGGCACTTGCCTGTGGTCCCAGCTACTAAAGATGAGGGGGAAGAGAATTCAAGGCAAAAGAACCCCAAGTTGCAAAGGCCCTGGGGTTCAAACGGCGTGGTGTGTTCTCCAAGGAGCCAAGAGGCTGCTGTGGCTTCAGGGGTGGATAACTGCATAGGGAATAGGGAGCCAAGCTAAGGAGCTGGGAATGTGTCCAGGTGCGGCGGGAAACATTTGAGGCTTTGAAGAGGTGGGAGACACGTTTTATTTATGTTAAAGATCACCTTGGGACAGGTGCAGTGGCTCACACCTGTAATTCAAACACTTTGGGAGGCAGAGGTTGCAGTGAGCCAAGATCATGCCACTGCACTCCAGCCTGGGCGACAGAGCAAGACTGGCCTCTCAAAAAAAAAAAAATTCGCCGGGCTCAGTGGCTCACACCTGTAATTCCAATACTTTGAGAGGCCAAGGCGGGCAGATCACCTGAGGTCGGGAGTTGGAGACTAGCCTGACCAACACGGAGAAACCCTGTCTCTACTAAAAACACAGAATTAGCTGGGCGTCGTGGCGCATGACTGTAATCCCAGTTACTCGGGAGGCTGAGGCAGAAGAATGACTTGAACCCGGGAGGCGGAGGTTGCGGTGAGCCAAGATCATGCCATTGCACTCCAGCCTGGGCAACAAGAGTGAAACTCCATCTCAAAAAACAAAAAACCTCAAACAAACAAAAATACACACACACACACATACACACAATAAAATAAAAATAAAAATAAAAATAAATGAAAGTACAAAATTGGCGGGCGTGTGGCACACACGCCTGTAGTCCCAGCTACTTGGGAGGCTGAGGTAGGAGAATCACTTGAACCTGGGAGGCGGAGGTTGCAGTGAGCCGAGATCGCGCCACTGCACTCCAGTCTGGGCGTGGCAGTCTGGGCGTGGCAGCAAGACTCCGTCTCAAAATCACTCTGGCTCGTTTGCTGAGAATATATAGGGAGTGGGAGAAATAGAGGAAAAGGTATTAATTCTCCAGAGAGAAAGCCAGGATCTGGGGTTTTGCAGGCTTAGAGCTACCTGGGAGAGGCTGGTTAGCCAGGCTGATTCTTGCAGGAACTGCTGAGGTCTCAGCCTCATTTCCCAGTGGGTATTGTCTTCCCAGTGCCCAGATCTGCCCTCAGGAGGCAGATCCGCTGCCCCTCTGCCAGCTGCACGCTACATTCCCATCTCACAGAGCAGGAGACTGAGGCCTGCAGAAGGGTGACTGGTCTAAGCTCACGTGTCTGGGCAAGGAAAGGAGGCAGAGAGCCAAATTTCCCAAGCTGAGCCCAGTGCGGAGTGCTGGGGTGATCTAGACATGTGCCTCATTCAGACTCTGCTTTTTTTTTTTTTTTTGACAGTGTTGCTCTGTCTCCCAGGCTGGAGTTCAGAGGCTGCGCAGCTCACTGCAACCTCCGCCTCCCGGATTAAACAGACTCTCCTGCCTCAGCCTCCAGAGTAGCTGGGATTACAGGTGCGTGCCACCACGCCCGGTTGATTTTTGTATTTTTTAAGGTAGAGGAGTTGTTTCACCATGTTGGCCAGGCTGGTCTCCAACTCCTGACCTCAAGTGATCTGCCCACCTCGACCTCCCAAAGTGTTGGGATTACAAGTGTGAGCCAGCGCCCGCCAACTTACCCTTATTTTAACGAAGTGCATTTAACTGTACGATTACAGAATTTACCTGTAGTTTTTTTTATTCATGTCAGAAGGGTAATGTGCCGATGTCGTAACAAGGTTTGGAGGGGAGGTACATCTCACATGCGCGTGAACACCCAATCATCCCGCTTAGAAACTACAAAAGGATAGAGCTGTAAGTTTAAATTATTGAATATTTAATGACTCACATCAGTGCCCCACCTGTGGGCAGCTCTGTGTGGTAGAGCCCACGTTGTGCTGGGGCGAGAGCGGCCCAGAAGCCTGCCGTCTAAAATCTAGACGCTTCACTTATTTGGGCTGCTCAAAATTCAGTTACGTAGGAGTAAAGGCAGAAGATGGAAAAGAAAAAAGAAAAGGAAATAAGATTATGCTCCGTTCACTCTCAATTTTACTCAGCCCAGGCCTCCCCATTCCAGAATCTGACTGATTCTGACTCCGCCCCCAACCTGGTTCAGCCCCGCCCCTTCCCCGTCAGTGCCGTCGTCATGACAACCGCTCATAATGTCCTCTTCTCCTAGGGGTGGGGGAAACCTGGTCTCTCAGGGCTCCCCATTGGCCAAAAGTTTGTAGAGGACGGGCCTCACCACTTTCATTGGTCAGTTGATCGTTGTGGTCCCATCCCCCATGCTCCCATTGGTTGATTGATTTGAAAAGGGCGGGGACTCTGGGCAGCAGTTGCGGAGTGCCACGGGTCCACAGTGCCGCACTGAGCAGAGAGGAAGGGGCGTCCCGGAGCATTTGGAGGATAAAGGTGGGCAGGGTATCATGTGGGAGGCAAAGGGCGAGAAGTGCGGGGCGGTGAGAGGGGAGCGGGGCGGGCAATATGTGGATTCAGAACGTCTTTCCGCAGGGTGATGACCACACCTGCCGGCCCGGCAAGGCTTCGGCCCGTGTCCCGGTGGGGCCTGTCCCCGGCGCTGACCTGCAGGCTGAAAGTGAGTCCCAGCACGCAAGGCATCCGATACACCGTCTGCCTTCCCAGCCTGAGCAGACGGCCTTTAGGAGCTGGTAGTCCCAGGGTCGGTGGCAGGGGCGCTAACGTTCTCCCAAGGATCCAACGGCGGGAGGGCGGCTCCCAGGCAGCCCCTGAGGTCCTGTCTGCAGACTATGAATCCCAGAATACTCGAAGGAAACACCTCCCCTTAGAACCCAGGGCCACAGGCGCGACGCCTACTGGGATTTGTAGTCCATTGTTGTAGGGGATGCTACGGTGGACGGCTCAATCCACCATGGTGCCCCAGCCGGCTTTCGTCTTGCCAGGTCCTCCTGTGGACCCAGATTTCCAGGCCGACATGCACAGCACCCTGGAGCAGACGCTGCCTGGGTTTCAGGGCGGACGGCACTCCAAGGCGGACGCCTGTCCCGAGCGAAGCCTGGCCTCGCAGGAGGTTCAACGGAGCTGGGGTGAAGATGAGAGCCCAGATTCCTGAGTCCTTGAGGGAGGAAGGGATTGAATTTAAAACCTCAGGTCCAGGAATGAAGGGGAAGGAGACTCCCTAGATCTGAGGAGGTGGAAGTTGGGAGCGAACTCATGCGTCTGGGGAAGGAAGGCTGGGGTTTGGAATCATTGGGTTCTGTAGTGGGGAAGAGCTCAAAGATCAGGTCTTCTGAGGAATGGAAGAGAAGAGGGCTCTGGGGACCTGACTCCTGTGTTTGAAGGAAGAGGCTGGTGTACAGAACTCCCATGGGTGTGGAAGGAGAGAGCCGAGGCCTGCTCTCCTGGGTCTCTAGGGCCTGGCAAACAGGTCTCAGAATTATTCTGCCCTGTCCATCCTTCTAGTTCTTTTGTGCTGAGAATAATCTGGAAGTTGCAGGCTCCAGCCACATGTTGATCTTCAGCTTAGCCCTGAGGACCTGGAGAAGATGGGCCTGCAAGGTCTGCTGCTAGGACTCCAGGCATTCTGACTGCTGGCCTCCTCCCTCCCTAGAGGGATTCTGGCATTTCAACGGTACAATGAAGAGCTGGTTATTTGGAGGTGAGGGTTGCACTGAGGCCGAGATCGCGCCATTGCACTCCAGCCTGGGCAATGGGTCGCAAAACTCCATCTAGAAAACAAAAATGTTTGGTATTTTCCAGTGTGGTACTCTGATGGGGAAAAAAATCATATACATTGATGATGGTCCTCCTGATGTAATTTGCCATCTTAGAGCCTCAGCTTCCTACCTGTAAAATAGCTGGAAATATAATACATCTTAGAGCTACAGAAATTCCAGAGAGGCTGGTGCAGTGGTTCACATCAATCCCAGCACTTTGGGAGGCCGAGGCAGGCGGATCACGAGGTCAGGAGATCGAGACCATCCTGCCTAACACGGGTGTGTCCTCATCTCTATTACTAAAATACAAAAATTAAGCCGGGCGCAGGCGGGTGCAGCCAGTTCTAGTTGCTTGGGAGGCTGAGGCAGGAGAATCACTTGAACCCGTGAGGCGGAGGTTGCAGTGAGCCAAGATCATGCCATTGCACTCCAGCCTGGGTGACAAGAGCAAAACTCATCTAAAACACAGAAAAGAAAACAGGTTTGTTTGTTGTTTTGAGGCAGAGTCTTGCCCCCGTTGCTCAGGTTGGAGTGCAATGGCACAATCTTGGCTCCCTGCTAACCTCTGCCTCCTGGATTCAAGCACCACCTGCCTCAGTCTCCCAAGTAGCTGGGATACAGGTGACACCACCATGCCCTGCCAATTTTTTTTTGTATCACTTTTAGTAGAGCCGGGTTTCACCATGTTGGCCAGGGATGGTCTTGAAGCTCCCCACTCAGGTGATCTCGCCACCTTGGCCTGCCCAAAGTAGGGTTTATACGTGTGAGCCATCTCACCTGGCTCCCAGGAATAAAGGCTTAATTGACTCCACAGTTCCACAGGCTGTACAGGGAGCATGCATGGCTGTGAAGGCCTCAGGAAACTTACAATCACAACAGAAGGTGAAGGGGATGCAGGCACCTGTTCCATGGCAGGAGAAGGAGCAAGAGAGGAATATAAAGAGCTTTGACAATTTTCAAACAACCAGATTTTGTCGGAACTCACTATCACGAGAACAGTAAGGGAGAAATCTGCCTCAGGACCTCAATACCGCATCAGCCCCACCTCCAACATTTGGGGATTACAATTCAACATGAGATTTAGATGGGACACAGATCCAAACCATATCAGCTATTAATAACCCAGAGAGAATTCAGAGTGCAGATTGTTCAAAGTTCTTAAACAGTCAGGAACTAAACTGATCTATTTTACTAAAAGGCACACAGTTCTCTTCTAGCTAAGTTCTTAAACAACTAACATGAAACTTTTTTTTTTTTTTTTTTTTTTTTGAGACAGAGTCTCGCCTGTCGCCCCAGGCTGGAGTGCAGCATGGATCTCAGTTCACTGCAAAGCCCGCCTCCCGGGTTTACGCCATTCTCCTGCCTCAGCCTCCCGAGTAGCTGGGACTACAGGCGCCCCGCCACCTCGCCTCGGCCAGTTGTTTTTTTTTTTTTTGTATATTTTAGTAGAGACTTGGGCTCACCGTGTTAGGCCAGGACATGGCCTCGATCTCCTGATCTCGTGATCCACCCGTCTCAGCCTCCCAAAGTGCTGGGATTACAGGCTGAGCCACCACGCCGACACATGAAACTATTTCTGTGTCTATGTGTGTATATATATATTATATACAATGAAAGGTATATACACTCATCCCTCAGTAACAATGGGGACTGGTTCCAGACCTCGTGAGGCCTACAAGATCCGAGGATGCTCAAGTCCTCACAAATGGTGTAGTACTGCCAGGGGCAGTGGCACACGCCTGTAATCCTAAGCACTTTGGGAGCCTGGGTGGGAGGGACTGCTTGAGACTCATGAGTTTGGAGACTGGCCTGGCTGGGCCATAGTGAGACCCCGCTCTACAAGAAATAAAAAATATTAGCTGGGTGGTAGCGACACTAGTCCCAGCTAGTTGGGAAGCTGGAAGGGGAGGGTCCCTTAAACCCAGGTGGTCGAGGTTACTGTGAACTATGATGGCACAACTGCACTCCAGCCTGGCAAACAGGAGTGAGACACTGTCTCAAAACAAAAAAAGATGTACTCACAAATAGCCTGTACACATCCTCCCATACACCATAAATCATCTCTAGATGACCTATAATACAGGCTGGGCATGGTGGCTCACGCCTGTAATCCCAGCATTTTGGGAGGCCGAGGTGGGCGTGAGGTGGGCGGATCACCTGAGGTCGGGAGTTTGTGACTAGCCTGACCAACATGGAGAAACCCCATCTCTACTAAAAACAAAAACAAAAACAAAAACAAAATTAGCCGGTGTGTCTAAGCGCTTGTAATCCCAGCTACTAGGAAGGCTGAGGTAGGAGAATCACTTGAACCCAGGAGGCGGAGGTTGTGGTGAGCGAAGATCGTGCCATTGGGTTTCCAGCCTGGGAAACAAGAGGAAACTCATTTCAAAAAAAAAAAAAAAGATTATCATAATATGTACAAATGTAAATGCTTACACCATATTTTGGCAATTTGTATTTTTGTTTTACTGTGGTATTGTTATCTTTTGCCCCAAATATTGTGTCTGCGGTGAGTGTGGAATCTGCAAATTAATTCTCTCTTCTAGGTAGTTACTTATTTATTTATTTTCCCTGTTCTTCATGTAGTTTTTGGAATGCGTGGGGAGCTTGCAGGGTTCATAGTTTTCAAGTATATGACTATGACCTAACAACACATTTAGGGTCTAATCTCTGGGCTCCTCCTCCGCACATTCCCAATTTATCTCCCTCTCCCCAGAGCGAGCGAGACCTTCCCTGGAGGTGGGGAACGCGCTGCTGCCGTGGTCAGTCACATGCACTCCAGCTCACCCTGCTGTCTCACCTGGTCCCCGAGCCCGACCGCTCGGGAGGAGCAGAGCTGCCCTGGCTCAGCCTCCAAGCCCTCAAGCAGCCGCCGCCCGGCCTCCATCTGGATCGGGTGGCCGCCGTGGAAGAATGGAAGTGCGCAGCCCAAAGGACGGGCGCTGATGGAGCAGGTGGCGGCGTGGTCTGGGAGTTCGAGTCCCAGTTTCCCGACTCCCACTGTGGGATTTGCCTGGGGGCAGCAGGTGGCTTCGCTTTCAGAACCTCAGTTTTTCCATCCGAGAAACGGGGAATCGTTCCCTGCTCTGGGATGGAAGAGAGGGTCAATTAGAAGCCTGCATCCCTCTCCCCACGCGTGCTCGCTCGCAGTTCCGCGTAGCGGACGCCGGAGGCCGTGTTCCGCTCTGGGCGGGCAGCCAGAAAGGGCCCGAGGCCTCCCCAGAGCCGGCTCTGGGGGACCACGCTGCGCCACTACCGGGCTCCCCGCTGGGCGACGCCCGGCGCGGTGTCAGCGACTGGGACCTGCACATGAAGCTGCATGACCGCGGGGTGAGGGGCACAGGAGGAGGGGCCGGGGGCCTGACTCCGGGGCCTGAGGGAGGAGGGGGCTGGGGTCTGACTCTGGCCCGAGGGAGGCCGTGGGGCTCGACTCTGGGGCCTGAGGGAGGAGGGCTGGGGTCTGACTCCTGGGTCTGAGGGAGGAGGGGCCGGGCCTGACTCCTGGGTCTGAGGGAGGAGGGCCGGGTCTCGGAATTCTGGCCTGAGGAGGAGGGCCGAGGCCTCGACTCCCGGGTCTGAGGGAGGACGGGCTGGGGTCTGACTCTGGCTCCGAGGGAGGAGGGAGACTGGGGGCCTGGACTCCTGGGTCTGAGGGAGGAGGGGCTGGGGCCTGGACTCCTGGGTCTGAGGGAGGAGGGACTGGGGCCTGGACTCCTGGTCTGAGGGAGGAGGGCCGGGGCTCTGACTCTGGGTCTGAGGGAGGAGGGACCGGGGCCTGACTCCTGGGGTCTGAGGGAGGAGGCCGGGGCCTGACTCCTGGGTCTGAGGAGGAGGGGCGGGGGCCTGGACTCCTGGGTCTGAGGGAGGAGGGGCTGGGGCCTGGACTCCTGGGTCTGAGGGAGGAGGGGCCGGGGCTCCGGACCCTGGGTCTGGCGGGAGGAGGGCCTAGGTCTGGACTCTGGGTCTGAGGGAGGAGGGACTGGGGCCTGACTCCTGGGTCTGAGGGAGGAGGGCCAGGGTCTGGACTCCTGGGTCTGAGGGAGGAGGGACTGGGGCCTGGACTCCTGGGTCTGAGGGAGGAGGGGCTGGGGCCTGGACTCCTGGGTCTGAGGAGAGGGCCGGGGTCTGACTCCTGGGTCTGAGGGAGGAGGGACTGGGGCCTGGACTCCTGGGTCTGAGGGAGGAGGGGCTGGGGCCTGGACTCCTGGGTCTGAGGAGGGCGCTGGGGGCCTGGACTCCTGGGTCTGAGGGAGGAGGGGCTGCAAACCTGACTCCTGGGTCTGAGGGAGGAAAGGGCTGGGGGTCTGGACTCCTGGGTCTGAGGGGAGGGGAGGGGCCGGGGGTCTGGACTCCTGGGTCTGAGGGAGGAGGAGCTGGGGCCTGGACTCCTGGGTCTGAGTGAGGAGGGGGCTGGGGCCTGACTCCTGGGTCTGAGGGAGAGGCCGGGGCCTGACTCCTGGGTCTGAGGGAGGAGGGACTGGGGCCTGACTCCTGGGTCTGAGGGAGGAGGACTGGGTCTGACTCCTGGGTCTGAGGGAGGAGGGCTGGGGCCCAACCCTGGGTCTGAGGAAGGATGGTGTAGGGCCCTCCTCCATGCTGGTCTGGCTGGAGGGTCCTTCTTCCTGCCTCCCCACCCCAGGCCCAAGTCATTCACACTCCAGGAGTTCCGACGCTGATGGACACAGGCGTTGCCTTTGAACTCAGGGACTCCAGCGCCATCACGTGCCCAACCGACCCTGGCGTCGGGTCGCTCCTGAGCTACGCGTGGCGTGTCCACTGCCTGTCCTGGCCCACTGCTGCTTCTCGAGACCCAGGAGTCAGGTCCCCAACCTCGACCTCACCCACCTCTCTCTCCCCGCTTTTCCAGCTGGGAGCGCGTGGCAGCGCGGTACTGGGGAGCACGCCACCGGGCTCCTCTGGCCTCGGCACTGGCCGACGACGGAGAGCCTTCCTGCGACCAGCAACGGACAGCCGGTCAGGCTGGTGCGCGAAGCAGGCTGGGACTGGGTGGAGTGGGGCTGGGGGTGGGTGGGTGTGCAAAGCCCCGCCTCCACCGCAGGCCCTGCCCCCAGCTCCAGACTCCAACCTGGGTCGCTGGGCGGGGACGACTCCATCTAGGAACAGGCCCCATCCCTGCGGGATAGGTCCTGGGCCCCACTCACATCCTCCAAGCAGCTGGGTGGGAGTTCTGGGTCCTGGACTGAGGATTCCCCCGCGTTCTAAGCTTCCTGCCCCGCTATCCCGGCCCCGACGTCTGGCCACGCCCTTCTACCCCAGACGGCCGGGAAAGATCACGCAACACAACGTGACAGAGCGGCTGCGCGAGGTGTGGCCGCCTGGGGCGCGCGAGAGCCAGCCGGGGGACTCCGGAGGAGCAGCAGCGCCTTCGAGGCAAGCCCGGAGCCAGGACTTCAGGTAAGTCTCAGATGCTTGTGACTCTAGGTAAGCCACAGAAAACAACAGGTGCTCGCACCCAGGTAAGCTAGGGACTCCAGGTAAGTCCCAGATAAGCCAGGACTCCAGATAAACCAGATCAAGGCAAGTCCCAGATAAGCCAGGGACTCCAGGTAAGTCCCAGATAAGCCAGGGACTCCAGGTAAGCCACGGAAAACAACAGGTAAGCCAGGACTCCAGGTAAGTCCCAGGTAGGCCAGGGACAACAGGTAAGCCAGGGACTCCAGCATCCAAGTGTTTACACTGAGTGTGGACTGACATGATTTGGAAATGCCCAAAGACGGCTTCTTGATATTCTTCTGTCTTTTCCTCTTCCTTTCTCTCCTTCTCAAATTCTGAGAGCATGCTTAGGATTCTGAATTCCACTAGTAGAATTCTAATCTTATCTGCAAAGGGCTAAGCTATCCAAAACATTCTCACAGGGTGCTGGGTCCCAGCTCTCCTTGACACCCTCCCGTACCCCGATCCGCTGGGCCTCCTTCCAGCCATCCTCCAACCTGGAGCCTCTCGAGGTCTGTCCGACAGGGCATGTCACATGTGGCCCTGGCCACCCACCCTCTTTCCCTCTCTAGTCTCAGTTGCCTGATCTCTACAGTGAGCCTCTGCCTGCTGGGCTGACCTTCCCAGAACTTTCCAGGAATCCACCTCTGAGGAAAGATTTTTTTAAAAGCTTCAAGAGGACAAAAAGTGTTATCTCCAAGTCCTGTGTGCCTGCCCTCAGCTCTTGCCCACTATGTATCTCTCTGGCTTTTCTTCTGCTCCCTCATGGCTCTGCCCGGTCAGAGGTGACCCTCTATCCCCTTCCTCCGGCAGCCCCCACCCCGAATCATTCACTGTCCACTGCCACACCACCCTGCTGAGACTCTCCACCACAAAAGCTGCTACAATGGCTGCCTTCCACTCCCTCTATGTGGCCTGTGGTAAGCAGGAGGCATCTGTGCTCACAAAGACTCCAGGATCAGGCCCCCAGCCTCCCTCCCCAGACCCTGAACCCAAGCCCCAGGCCTTCCTCCCTCATACCTTGGAACCCAAGCCCCAGGCCCTCCTCTCAGACCCCAGGAGTCCAGACCCCAGCCCTCCTCCCTCAGACCCAGGAACTCCAAGCCCCAGCCCCTCCTCCCCAGACCCAGGAGTCCAGGCACCCAACCCCTCCTTCTCAGACCCAGGATCTCAGGCCCCCAGCCCCTCCCTCCTCAGACCCAGGAACCCGGTTTCCCAGCCCCTCCTCCTCAGACTCCAGGAGTCCAGACCCCAGCCCCTCCTCCCTGCACCCAGGAGTCCAGACCCCCAGCCTTCCTCCCCCAGACCCCAGGAGTCCAGCCCTCCCCAGACCCAGGAGTCCAGCCCCAGCCCCTCTTCCCCTGTAGACTCCAGAACCAGGCCCCCAGCCTCCCAGGCCCCGAGCCCCTCCCTCCCCCAGACCCAGGAACTGTGCCCCAGCTCCTCCCTCCTCAGACCCAGGAGTCCAGGCTCCAGCCCCTCCTCCTGGTCCCTGAGTCCAGACCTCCTGCCCTCTTTCCCAGACCCAGACTCCAGTGTTACAGCCCTCCTCCCTCAGTGTCTGGGTTCCCAGAGCCCCCTCCTCCTTCAGCTGAATCTCAGCTTGTCTCTGTCCTCTGCAGGATGTCCATCTTCCTCAGCCCTGAGCTTGGGCCTGTGGCACCTGGAGGAACCCGATTGTGAATTAGCCCGTGTGGAGCCAGTGGGCTGGAGGGCAGGGAACATCCTGGCTGGGGATCAAAATCTGGGTCCCTGACATGGCGCTTCCATCTGCAGGTACCTGGTGGACGTGGGCGTGTGATGAGCAGCCGCTGCAGGGATTCACCCAGGTCGGGAGTTTGCTCAGGCAGCTGGATTCGCCCACAGACCCGCCAGGCTCCTCAGAGACCTCGCACGCTTTCTGCAAGTCCCAGACTGCCTGGGCACTGACCCAGCTGTGGAGCCTGGAACGCTCGCTCCCTGACGCCCTGGCCTAGCCTCTTGAAGCCAGCAGCCCAGCCCCTGAGGGCCTGACCCAGCTCTGCAGGGTGGGGATCTCACACTGGGACTCCTGCCAGCTGCCCTCTGAGTCTCCCAGGTTCACTCTCAGAGGTTCTGGCTCAGCCCCAAAGGGGGCTTTGGCTCTGTCCAACTGTGTGAGTCAGACTCCAAAACTGGAGCTGGACCCAACCCCTGATACCCTTACTCCAACTTCCAAAGTCAGGTTGCAGGATGAGAACCCATTGATACCATTCTAAGCCCATGCTGAGTCTCTGACTTTATTCTAATCATTCCCACTGCCAGGCACCCGCCACCCCCCACCCTGGAGTGTTGGTAGAATTTCAAATTCTATTTCTGAGATTCTATTTCTAGAATTCTAGATTGTTCTTCCAGAATTCCAAATTCCACTCTGAGGCTCTGAACCCAGCTCCAGGATCTGACTCCTGAGTCTCAAGCCCCTTGACTTTGGCCCCTTGTTCCCAGGCACCCCTGCGGGAGCTGACTGGGGGCTGGGGTATCTTCTCACCAGGGCCTGGTCAGCACCCAGATGGTTCAAGCAGCGCTATGTCCACCTCTGCACCCAAGTGTCTTTCCCTGTCCTAAGGTCCAGCCTCCAGGGCTGGGAGAGAAAGACCCAGGAGTGGTGGACAGAGGAAGCCAGAAACCAGATTCCTGGGTTTCCGGACTGGGACCAGTGGGTTCGAGGGAGGATGACTGGGGCCTGACTCCTGGGTCTGAGGGAGGAGGGCTGGGCCTGACCTGGTCTGAGGAGGAGGGGCTGGGGCCTAGACTCCTGGGTCTGAGGGAGGAGGGGCTGGGGGTCTGGACTCCCGGGTCTGAGGAGGAGGGGCTGGGGGCCCGGACTCCTGGGCCTGAGGAGAGAGGCTGAGGACCTGGACTCCTGGGTCTGAGGGAGGAGGGGCTGGGGACCTGGGACTCCGGTCTGAGGAAGGAGGGGCTGGGGACCTGGACACTCCTGGGTCTGGAGGGAGGAGGGGCTGGGGCCTGGACTCCTGGGTCTGAGGGAGGAGAGGCTGGGGATCTGAACCCTGGGTTCGAGGAGGAGGGACTGGGGGTCTGGACTCCTGGGTCTGAGGGAGGAGGGGCCGAGGGTCTGGACTCCTGGGTCTGAGGGAGGAGGGGCTGGGAGCTTGGACTCCTGGGTCTGAGGGAGGAGGCCGGGTGGGACCCTGGACTCCTGGGTCTGAGGGAGAGGGCTGGGACCCTGGACTCTGGCCTGAGGGAGGACGGACTGAGGCCTGGATTCCTGGGTCTGAGGGAGGAGGGGCTGGGGGCCTGGACTCTGGCCTGAGGAAGAGGGGGCTGGGGGGCCTGACTCTTGTCTGAGGGAGTGGCTGGGGGTCTCCTATGGTCCCAGGACTGAGGAAGGAGGGGGCTGGGAGGTTGGGCATTCTGTGGGGTCTGAGGGAGGAGGGGTCTAGGACTCATGGATCAGAGGGAGAAGGGTCCGGAGTCCTGTGCTCCCAAGGTGGCTGGGTGATCCAGCTGGGAGGTGGGGCCCACCCCGCCCTCACGTGCTCCCCCCGCGACTTATGGTGGGCAGGAAGCAGGAGGAGGTGACAGTATATTTAGTCTCTGTCTCGCCTTTATCTCAGTGTCTCGAGCTCTGCCAGCCCGGAGGAGACTGACGGTCCGGGACCTGAAGGTCACTCCGGCGGTCCTCACTGACCCTCCAAACGCCCCTGTCCTCGCTCTCCTGCCATTCCCTGAGTCTCCAGCATGGCGGATAAGTGAGTGACGCCCAAGGCAGTGGAAAGGGGGGCGACCTCTCGGTTCCTAAGAGGCTGGGAGCTGAGAGGAAGGAATTCTGGCCTGTGAGGTAGGGGTAGGGGCCTTAAGCGAAGAAAGGAAGCGGGTTTGCGAGTCAGACTCCTGGAACCAGAGGAAGGAAGTGGTGTCCCCTGACCTCTCGGCCGAGGGGCCACCTCTGGGGTCCCTAGGAGACAGACAGGACACAGCCCACCACTAACCCCACTCCCCGGTTTCTCTCCTTCCAGGAGCAGCCAGCGCGGTAGAGCAGCGGGCTAAGGCGTGGGCTGGGACCCCAGGGCCAGGGGTGTGGGTGGCGCTGCAGTGAGGGGGCCCGAAGGGAGGCTGCACTCCCAGCGCGGGTGCGGTACGGTAAGGGCTGGGTGGCGTCTTGGTGGTGATGGGGTCCCCACTCCTCCAAACCCAGGCTGGGGAACTCCGCCTGCACCAGCCCCAATCAGATGTCCTTCCAATCCACTGCATGATTGCGCCACGGAGCCGCACGCCAAGGTGGGAGATTGGGCTCTCTGGGCCAGGCTGGTGCCAGGGGGACCCCAGACTCCTGGGGCGGAGCCAAGGCGAAGGGGCGGTGACTACGCGGAGAGGCTTCAGGGGCGGAGTTTCGCAGAGGGTCACACTGACAGGACAGCCGCCTGTGAAGGGAGCCCTGTTGCCTTGGATTTACTTAGGATAGATGGGAAGGTCGTATCCAAAGCCAGAGACCCGGATTGGGGATGGAACAGGCGTGGCTTACCAGACTCCAGGCTGTTGGAAGCGGGCCCAAATCTGGACTGGCTGGGGCTGGGTTGGGGAAGCCTGAGGTCTCCACCGTCGTCTCCGATCCTCCATGATGCTTCCTTTGCTCCATCTCACCCCAGAAAAATGGGCACCCAAGATCTCCACGAGGAAATCGTAGCAGCTGAAGGTGAGCAGGGAAGGTACGGGGAAGGCGGAGTAAGGCACGTGCTCAGGGGCGGAGCTTGAGAGTGGGTGGGGCTGGGGTAGGTGGGCGGGAGTGGGCGGGGGGTTTGGCGTCGGGGCGTGGCTGGTCGGGGAGTCCTGCTCCGGGTGGGGCGGGGCCTGAAAGGTGGAGACTTAAACCGAGGGTTTAGAAGGGCAGAGGCGGTTCCTACGCCTGGTCTTTATCCTGATGTCCTGCGGGCTGCGCTTCCCCACTCCTCCGCAGACCCTGCTGCTGCAGATTGCAAAGCAGGAGCTGGAGCGAGAGGCGGAGAGCGGCGCCGGGAGAGAGTGGGCGCGCTCTGGAGGACCCGCTGCCAGCCGCTGAGTTGGCTGCCTTCATGAGCTGCAGTGTACCGGGCTCCCAAGGCAGGTGTACTCCTGCCAGCCTGGGATCCGAAGTTTTAGTCCTCGGAATCACAGAACAGCCTCTATCCCCTTTTTCTGCTCGGACTCAGGCGTCCAACATGTCTGTCCTTACCTAATTCTATATGGTTCGGGACTCCCGCCCTAACACCTTTGTGCAGGGTCTCTGAGCTCCCTTGGCTCCAACTCTACTCTTCCAGGACCATGTGGCCTCCTATCCCCAGACAGGAGTCCAGGCTCCCAGCCCCTCTCCTCCCCAGAGCTGGATGTTCAGGCCTCAAAGCCCCTCCCTCCCTGTGACTCCTGAGTCCAGGGTCTGCAGCCTCCCTCCTCAGACTCCAGGAGTCCAGGGCCCCAGCCTCCTCCTCAGACCCAGGAGTCCAGGGCCCCAGCCCCTCCTCCCTCAGACCCAGGAGTCCAGGCCCCAGCCCTCCTCCCTCAGACCCAGGAGTCCAGGCCCCCAGCCCCTCCTCCTAGACCCAGGAGTCCAGGCCTCAGCCCCTCCTCCCGTAGACCCTGAGTCCAGGCCTCAGCTCCTCCTCCCTCAGACTCCTAAATCCAGGCCCTCAGCTCCTCCTCCTTCAGACCCTGGAGTCCAGGCCCTCAGGCCTCCTCACCAGACCCAGAAGTCCAGGGCTCCCCAGCCCCTCCTCCTCAGATCCAGGAGTCCAGGCTCTCAGCCCCTCCTCCCTCGTGACCCAGGAGAGCTCAGGCCTCAGCCCCTCCTCCCCCAGGACCCAGGAGTCCAGGCCTCTCCTCCCTCAGACCCAGGAGTCCAGGCCCCCAGCCCCTCCTCCCTCAGACCCAGGAGTCCAGGCCCCCAGCCCCTCCTCCCTCAGACCCAGGAGTCCAGACCCCCAGCCCCTCCTCCCTCAGACCCAGGAGTCCAGGCCCCCAGCCCCTCCTCCCTCAGACCCAGGAGTCCAGGCCCAGCCCCTCCTCCCTCAGACCCAGGAGTCCAGGCCCCAGTCTTGTCCTCCCTCAGACCCACTGGTCAAGTCCCGGAAACCCAGGAATCTGGTTTCTGGCTTCCTCTGTCCACCACTCCTGGGTCTTTCTCTCCCAGCCCTGGAGACGGACATAGGACAGGAAAGACACTTGGACACACAGAGAGGTGGACATAACTTGCTTTACTTGAACCATCTGGGTGCTGACCAGGCCCTGGTGAGAAGATACCCCAGCCCCCAGTCAACCACGGGGTGCCTGGGAACAAGGGGGCCAAAGTCAAGGGCTTGAGACTCAGGGTCAGATCCTAGACTGGGTTCAGAGCCTCAGAAGTGGAATTTGGAATTCTGAGAGAACAATCTAGAATTCTAGAAATAGAATCTCAGAAATAGAATTTGAAATTCTACCAACACTCCCAGGGTGGGGGTGGCGGGTACTGAGTGGGAATGATTAGAATAAAATTGAGGACTCCAGCAGCGGGCTTAGAATGGTATCAGCGGGTTCTCATCCTACAACCTGACTTTGGAAGTTGGAGATAAGGGGTATCTAGGGGTTGGGTCAACTCCAGTTTTGGAGTCTGACTCACAGTTGGACAGAGCCAAAGCCCCTTGGGGCTGAGCCAGAACCTCTGAGAGTGAACCTGGAGACTCAGAGGGCAGCTGGCAGGGCTCCCAGTGTGAGGTCCCACCCTGCAGAGGCTGGGTCAGGCCCTCAGGGGCTGGGCTGCTGGCTTCAAGAGGCTGGGCCAGGACGTCAAGGGACGGCGTTCCAGGCTCCACAGCTGGGTCAGTGCTGCCCAGAGCCGAGTCCTGGGACTTGCAGAAACGTGCGAAGGTCTCTGAGGGCCTGGCCCGGGTCTGTGGAGCGAATCCAGCTGCCTGAGCTCGCTCCCCGACCTGGGTGTTGAATCCCTGCAGCTGCTCCTGCCGCACGTCCACCAGGTACCTGCAGATGGAAGCGCCATGTCAGGGACCCAGATTTTGATCCCCAGCCAGGATGTTCCCTGCCCTCCAGCCCACTGGCTCACCGGGCTAATTCCACAATCAGGTTCCCTCCAGGTGCCACACAGGCCCCAAGCTCAGGGCTGAGAAGATGGACCATCCTGCAGAGAGGACAGAGGACAAGCTGAGATTCAGCTGAAGGAGGAGGGGGCTCTGGGAACCCAGACACTGAGGGAGGAGGGGCTGCAACACTGGAGTCTGGGTCCTGGGAAAGAAGGGAGCAGGAGGTCTGGACTCAGGGACCAGGGAGGAGGGGCTGGGCCTGGACTCCTGGGTCTGAGGGAGGAGGGGCTGGGGCTGGAGTCCTGGGTCTGAGGGGGGCGGGGGGGCGGGGGGGGGAGGGGCTGGGGGCCTGGACTCCTGGGTCTGAGGAAGGAGGGGTTGGGTGCCTGGACTCCTGGGTCTGAGGGAGGAGGGGCTGGGGCTTGGGTTCCTGGGTCTGAGGGAGGAGGGGCTGGGGGTCTGGACTCCTGGGTCTGAGGGAGGAGGGCCTGGGGCTTGGGTTCCAAGGTATGAGGGAGGAAGGCCTGGGGCTTGGGTTCCAGGGTCTGAGGGAGGAGGGGCTGGGGGCCTGATCCTGGGTCTTTGTGAGCACAGATGCCTCCTGCTTACCCACAGGCCACATAGAGGAGCTGGAAGCGGCCATTGTAGCAGCTTTTGTGGTGGAGAGTCTCAGCAGATTTGAGTGGCAGGAAGTGGACAGTGAATGATTCCGGGGTGGGGGCTGCCGGAGGAAGGGGATAGAGGGGTCACCTCTGACGGGCAGAGCCATGAGGGCAGAAAGCCAGAGAGATACATAGAGCTGGGCAGAGCTGGGCAGGCACACAGGACTTGGAGATAACACTTTTTGTCCTCTTGAAGCTTTTAAAAAAATCTTTCCTCAGAGGTGGATTCCTGGAAAGTTCTGGGAAGGTCAGCCCAGCAGGCAGAGGCTCACTGTAGAGATCAGGCAACTGAGACTAGAGAGGGAAAGAGGGTGGGTGGCCAGGGCCACATGTGACATGCCCTGTCGGACAGACACTCAGGGAGAGCCAGGTTGGAGGATGGCTGGAAGGAGGCCCAGCGCGGATCCGGGGTGCAGGAGGGTGTCCAAGGGAGAGCTGGGACCCAGCACCCTGTGAGAATGTTTTTGGATAGCTTAGCCCTTTGCAGATAAGATTAGAATTCTACTAGTGGAATTCAGAATCCTAAGCATGCTCTCAGAATTTAGGAAAGGGAGAGAAAGAGGAGAGAGGAAAAGACAGAATATCAAGAAGCCGTCACTTGCCCAGGCATTCCAAATCATGTCAGTCCACACTCCAGTGTGAAACACTTGGATGCTGGAGTCCCTGGCTTACCTGTTGTCCCTGGCCTACCTGGGACTTACCTGGAGTCCTGGCTTACCTGTTGTTTTCCGTGGCTTACCTGGAGTCCCTGGCTTATCTGGGACTTACCTGGAGTCCCTGGCTTATCTGGGACTTACCTGGAGTCCCTGGTTTATCTGGAGTCCCTGGCTTATCTGGGACTTACCTGGAGTCCCTGGCTTACCTGGAGTCCTGGCTTACCTGTTGTTTTCTGTGGCTTACCTAGAGTCCCTGGCTTATCTAGGACTTACCTGAAGTCCCTGGCTCCGGGCTTGCCTCCGAGCGCTGCTGCTCCTCCGGGTCCCCCCGGCTGGCTCTCGCGCGCCCCCAGGCGGCCACCTCGCGCAGCAGCTCTGTCACGTTGTGTTGCGTGATCTCCCCGGCCGTCTGGGGTAGAAGGGGCGTGGCCAGACGTCGGGGCCGGGATGGCAGGGCGGGGCTTAGAACGCGGGGAGTCCTCGGTCCAGGACTAGAACTCCCGCAGCTGCTTGGAGGATGTGAAGTGGGGCGGGACCTATCCCGCGGGGATGGGGCCTGTTCCCTGAATGGAGTCGTCCCCGCCCAGCGACGGGTTGGGTCTGGAGCTGGGGGCGGGGCCTGCGGTGGAGGCGGGGCTTTGCACACCCACCCACCCCCAGCCCCACTCCCACCCCAGTCCCAGCCTCGCCGCGCACCTTGACCGGCTGTCCGTTGCTGGTCCGCAGGAGGCTCTCGTCGTCGGCTTCGATGCCGAAGGCCACGAAGGGCCCCGTGGCGATGTCCCCCCAGTACCCGCGCGCTGCCACGCGCTCCCCGCGCTGGAAAAGCAGGGAGAGAGGAGGTGGGTGAGGTCGAGGTTGGGGACCGTGACTCCTGGGTCTCCGAGAAGCAGCAGTGGGCCAGGACAGGCAGTGGACACGCACGTAGCTCAGGAGGCGACCCGACGCCAGGGTCCGGTTGGGCACGTGATAGGCGCTGGAGTCCCTGAGTTCAAAGGCAACGCCTGTGTCCCGCCAGCGTCGGAACTCCTGGGTGTGAATGACTTGGGCCTGGGGTGGGGGGCAGGAAGAAGGGACCCTCAATGAACCCAGCATGGAGGGACCCCTACACCATCCTTCCTCAGACCCAGGAGTTCAGGCCCCAGCCCCTCCTCCCTCAGACCCAGGAGTTCCGACGCTGGCGGGACACAGGCGTTGCCTTTGAACTCAGGGACTCCAGCGCCTATCACGTGCCCAACCGGACCCTGGCGTCGGGTCGCCTCCTGAGCTACGTGCGTGTCCACTGCCTGTCCTGGCCCACTGCTGCTTCTCGGAGACCCAGGAGTCACGGTCCCCAACCTCGACCTCACCCACCTCCTCTCTCCCTGCTTTTCCAGCGCGGGGAGCGCGTGGCAGCGCGCGGGTACTGGGGGGACATCGCCACGGGGCCCTTCGTGGCCTTCGGCATCGAAGCCGACGACGAGAGCCTCCTGCGGACCAGCAACGGACAGCCGGTCAAGGTGCGCGGCGAGGCTGGGACTGGGGTGGGAGTGGGGCTGGGGGTGGGTGGGTGTGCAAAGCCCCGCCTCCACCGCAGGCCCCGCCCCCAGCTCCAGACCCAACCCGTCGCTGGGCGGGGACGACTCCATTCAGGGAACAGGCCCCATCCCCGCGGGATAGGTCCCGCCCCACTTCACATCCTCCAAGCAGCTGCGGGAGTTCTAGTCCTGGACCGAGGACTCCCCGCGTTCTAAGCCCCGCCCTGCCATCCCGGCCCCGACGTCTGGCCACGCCCCTTCTACCCCAGACGGCCGGGGAGATCACGCAACACAACGTGACAGAGCTGCTGCGCGAGGTGGCCGCCTGGGGGCGCGCGAGAGCCAGCCGGGGGGACCCGGAGGAGCAGCAGCGCTCGGAGGCAAGCCCGGAGCCAGGGACTTCAGGTAAGTCCTAGATAAGCCAGGGACTCTAGGTAAGCCACAGAAAACAACAGGTAAGCCAGGACTCCAGGTAAGCCAGGGACTCCAGGTAAGTCCCAGATAAGCCAGGGACTCCAGATAAACCAGGGACTCCAGGTAAGTCCCAGATAAGCCAGGGACTCCAGGTAAGTCCCAGATAAGCCAGGGACTCCAGGTAAGCCACGGAAAACAACAGGTAAGCCAGGACTCCAGGTAAGTCCCAGGTAGGCCAGGGACAACAGGTAAGCCAGGGACTCCAGCATCCAAGTGTTTCACACTGGAGTGTGGACTGACATGATTTGGAATGCCTGGGCAAGTGACGGCTTCTTGATATTCTGTCTTTTCCTCTCTCCTCTTTCTCTCCCTTTCCTAAATTCTGAGAGCATGCTTAGGATTCTGAATTCCACTAGTAGAATTCTAATCTTATCTGCAAAGGGCTAAGCTATCCAAAAACATTCTCACAGGGTGCTGGGTCCCAGCTCTCCCTTGGACACCCTCCTGCACCCCGGATCCGCGCTGGGCCTCCTTCCAGCCATCCTCCAACCTGGCTCTCCCTGAGTGTCTGTCCGACAGGGCATGTCACATGTGGCCCTGGCCACCCACCCTCTTTCCCTCTCTAGTCTCAGTTGCCTGATCTCTACAGTGAGCCTCTGCCTGCTGGGCTGACCTTCCCAGAACTTTCCAGGAATCCACCTCTGAGGAAAGATTTTTTTAAAAGCTTCAAGAGGACAAAAAGTGTTATCTCCAAGTCCTGTGTGCCTGCCCAGCTCTGCCCAGCTCTATGTATCTCTCTGGCTTTCTGCCCTCATGGCTCTGCCCGTCAGAGGTGACCCCTCTATCCCCTTCCTCCGGCAGCCCCCACCCCGGAATCATTCACTGTCCACTTCCTGCCACTCAAATCTGCTGAGACTCTCCACCACAAAAGCTGCTACAATGGCCGCTTCCAGCTCCTCTATGTGGCCTGTGGGTAAGCAGGAGGCATCTGTGCTCACAAAGACCCAGGATCAGGCCCCCAGCCCCTCCTCCCTCAGACCCTGGAACCCAAGCCCCAGGCCTTCCTCCCTCATACCTTGGAACCCAAGCCCCAGGCCCTCCTCCCTCAGACCCAGGAGTCCAGACCCCCAGCCCCTCCTCCCTCAGACCCAGGAACCCAAGCCCCAGCCCCTCCTCCCTCAGACCCAGGAGTCCAGGCACCCAACCCCTCCTTCCTCAGACCCAGGAGTCCAGGCCCCCAGCCCCTCCCCCCCCCGCCCCCCCGCCCCCCTCAGACCCAGGACTCCAGCCCCAGCCCCTCCTCCCTCAGACCCAGGAGTCCAGGCCCAGCCCCTCCTCCCTGGTCCCTGAGTCCAGACCTCCTGCTCCCTTCTTTCCCAGGACCCAGACTCCAGTGTTGCAGCCCCTCCTCCCTCAGTGTCTGGGTTCCCAGAGCCCCCTCCTCCTTCAGCTGAATCTCAGCTTGTCCTCTGTCCTCTCTGCAGGATGGTCCATCTTCTCAGCCCTGAGCTTGGGGCCTGTGTGGCACCTGGAGGGAACCTGATTGTGGAATTAGCCCGGTGAGCCAGTGGGCTGGAGGGCAGGGAACATCCTGGCTGGGGATCAAAATCTGGGTCCCTGACATGGCGCTTCCATCTGCAGGTACCTGGTGGACGTGCGGCAGGAGCAGCTGCAGGGATTCAACACCCAGGTCGGGGAGCGAGCTCAGGCAGCTGGATTCGCTCCACAGACCCGGGCCAGGCCCTCAGAGACCTTCGCACGTTTCTGCAAGTCCCAGGACTCGGCTCTGGGCAGCACTGACCCAGCTGTGGAGCCTGGAACGCCGTCCCTTGACGTCCTGGCCCAGCCTCTTGAAGCCAGCAGCCCAGCCCCTGAGGGCCTGACCCAGCCTCTGCAGGGTGGGACCTCACACTGGGAGCCCTGCCAGCTGCCCTCTGAGTCTCCAGGTTCACTCTCAGAGGTTCTGGCTCAGCCCCAAGGGGCTTTGGCTCTGTCCAACTGTGAGTCAGACTCCAAAACTGGAGTTGACCCAACCCCTAGATACCCCTTATCTCCAACTTCCAAAGTCAGGTTGTAGGATGAGAACCCGCTGATACCATTCTAAGCCCGCTGCTGGAGTCCTCAATTTTATTCTAATCATTCCCACTCAGTACCCGCCACCCCCACCCTGGGAGTGTTGGTAGAATTTCAAATTCTATTTCTGAGATTCTATTTCTAGAATTCTAGATTGTTCTCTCAGAATTCCAAATTCCACTTCTGAGGCTCTGAACCCAGTCTAGGATCTGACCCTGAGTCTCAAGCCCTTGACTTTGGCCCCCTTGTTCCCAGGCACCCCGTGGTTGACTGGGGGCTGGGGTATCTTCTCACCAGGGCCTGGTCAGCACCCAGATGGTTCAAGTAAAGCAAGTTATGTCCACCTCTCTGTGTGTCCAAGTGTCTTTCCTGTCCTATGTCCGTCTCCAGGGCTGGGAGAGAAAGACCCAGGAGTGGTGGACAGAGGAAGCCAGAAACCAGATTCCTGGGTTTCCGGGACTTGACCAGTGGGTCTGAGGGAGGACAAGACTGGGGCCTGGACTCCTGGGTCTGAGGGAGGAGGGGCTGGGCCTGGACTCCTGGGTCTGAGGGAGGAGGGGCTGGGGGCCTGGACTCCTGGGTCTGAGGGAGGAGGGGCTGGGGGTCTGGACTCCTGGGTCTGAGGGAGGAGGGGCTGGGGGCCTGGACTCCTGGGTCTGAGGGAGGAGGGGCTGGGGCCCTGGACTCCTGGGTCTGAGGGAGGAGGGGCTGAGGCCTGAACATCCAGCTCTGAGGGAGGAGGGGCTGGGGCCTGGACTCCTGTCTGGGATAGGAGGGCCACATGGTCCTGAAGGAGTAGGTTGGAGCCAAGACTCCAGAGACCTGCACACAAAGGGTGTTAGGGGCCGGGAGTCCCACGAACCATATAGAATTAGGTAAGGACAGACATATTGGACGCCTGAGTCCCGAGCAGAAAAGGGGATAGAGGCTGTTCTGCTGAATTCCGGGGACTAGAAACTTCGGATCCCAGGCTGGGCAGGAGTACCTGCCTTGGGAGCCGGTACCTGCAGCTCCGCGAAGCCCAGCCCGGCCAACTCCAGCGGCTGGCAGCGGGTGCTCAGAGCGCGCCCCTTCTCTCCGCGCCGCTCCTCCGCCTCTCGCTCCAGCTCCTGCTTTGCAATCTGCAGCAGCAGGGTCTGCGGAGGGGTGGGGGGGAAGCGCAGCCCACCTGGGACATCAGGATAAAGACCAGGCGTAGGGAACCGCCTCTGCCCTTCTAAACCCTCGAGTTTCGTCTCCACCTTTCCAAGGCCCCGCCCCACCCGGAGCAGGACTCCCCGATAAAGCCACGCCCCGAGCGGCCAAGCCCCCGCCCACTCCCGCCCACCTACCCCGAAAGCCCCACCCACTCTCAAGCTCCGCCCCCTGAGCATGTGCCTGCTCCTTCCCCGTACCTTCCCTGCTCACCTTCAGCTGCAATTTTCTCGAGGCGGAGATCTTAGATTTTTTCTGCCAGGGTGAGATGGAGCAAGGAAGCATCATGGAGGGGGATCCGGAGACGACGGTGGAGGGGACCTCAAGGCACCCCCAGCAACCCCAGCCGGTCCAGATTTGGGCCCACTTCCAACTTGCGCCCTGAGTCTATGACAAGCCACGCCCCTCATTCCCATCCACCAATCCGGGTCTCTGGCTTTGGATAGGCACTTCCCATCTATCCCTAAGTAAATCCAAGGGCAACGGAGCTCCGCCCACAGGCGGCTGTCACCAATCCGAGTGTGACCCTCTGCAAAACTCCGCCCCTGAAGCCTCTCCGCGTAGTCACCGCCCCCTTCGCCGCCTTGGCTCCGCCCCCCAGGGTCTCGGGTCCCCCCCAGCGCCTGTACTCGGCCCCCAGGAAGCCCCGTCCCACCTTGGCGTGCGGCTCCGTGGCGTAAGCGCGGTAGTTGGAGGAGCGGCGTCTGATTGGGGCTGGTGCAGGGCGAGGTTCCCCAGCCTGGGTTTGGAGGAGTGGGGACCCCATCACCACCAAGACGTCACCCAGCCCTTACCGTACCGCACCCTTTGCTAGGGGTGCAGCCTCCCGCCCCAGACCCCTCACTGCAGCGCCCACCCTGGCCCTGGGGGTCCCAGCCACGCCTTGGCCCGCTGCTCTCACCGCATCGCTGCTCCTGGAAGGAGAGAAACCGGGGGTGGGGGTTAGTGGTGGGCTGTGTCCTGTCTGTCTCCTAAGGGACCCCCGGAGGCCCCTCTGACCAAGAGGTCGGGGGACACCACTTCCCCTTCCTCTGGTTCCAGGAGTCTGACTCGCAAACCCGCTTCCTTTCTTCAACCAAGAGCCCCTACCCCTACCTCACAGGCCAGGGGTCCAGCCTCTCAGCTCTGACCCCTCTTGGGAACCCGAGAGGTCGCCCCCAACTCCCACTGCCTTAGGGCGTCACTCACTTATCCGCCATGCTGAGACTCAGGCGGGGAATGGCAGGAGGCGAGGACAGGGGCGTTTGGAGGGTCAGTGAGGGGACCGCCCGGGTGACCTTCAGGGTCCCAGGGACCGTCAGTCTCCTCCGGGCTGCTTGAGACTCCCCGAGGACACTGAGATAAAGGGCGAGGACAGAGACTAAATATACTGTCACCTCCTCCTCGCCTGCCCACCATGCGAGATAACGGGGCACGTGAGGGGCGGGGTGGGCCCTGCTCCAGCTGGATCACCAGCCACCTTGGGGCACAGGACTCCGGACCCTTCTCCCTCTGATCCTGGAGTCCTAGACCCCTCCTCCCTCAGACCCACAGAATGCCCAACCTCCCAGCCCCCTCCTTCCTCAGTCCTAGGACCCTGGGAGACCCCAGCCACTCCCTCAGACAAGGAGTCCAGGCCCCCAGCCCCCTCTTCCCTCAGACCCAGGAGTCCAGGCCCCCAGCCCCTCCTCCCTCAGACCCAGGAATCCAGGCCTCAGTCCGTCCTCCCTCAGACCCAGGAGTCCAGGTCCCCAGCCCCTCTCCCTCAGACCCAGGAGTCCAGGTCCCCAGCCCCTCCTCCCTCAGACCCAGGAGTCCA